TCGCCGGACTCTTTACCCTCACCACTGATGCCAGCGACATCGCATGTGGAGCTATACTCATGCAAGAGGGTGAACACGGTTGAAAGAAAATCATAGCAGTGGCCTCACACACCTTTAGCCCAACAGAGTGCAACTGGTCGATGACTGAACGCGAGGCGTACGCTATAAAATGGGCTATCACCAAATACGATTATTTCCTCCGTAGCCGTCCATTCGTTGTTCTCACGGATCACCAGTCCCTTAATAATTTGAGCATTTAGAAATTGTTCACACTATTTTCTGGAAAATATAAACAATAAATTATTCTATGGAATGTGCTTTACAAAAATTAAAATATTACCCATTCATTTATATATATATATATATATATATATATATATATATATATATAAGGTATGTTAACTTTTAACTTTTTAGTTAACTTTTGTTATCTACAAAGGAATGTCTATTTGAATCAAGTGAGTATAAATATAATCCAAACATGTTTTAAGATTAGAGAAAATTATGGATGCCATTTATTTGCAAGTATTTTTCTTGGTGTTTGCTATCAGGCTAGAATAGGTCATTATGAAAATGAGGAAGGACTGTGGGTACTGATATTTTTTTAACCTTGCATAAATAATTTTTGATTGTTATGATTCTGAATTTAACATTTTCATTAGTTCTTGATAGTGGCATCACATACAGGGGAGTGCCAGAATGTCTTGGTTGGACCTGTGCATCTGTAAGTTGTTAAATATATTTAAAATACCAGTTCTTAAGACAAAGAAACTTTATTTAGCATAGGGCTCCTTTTTTATGGAAAGGTCCTCTAATATCTGAAATCATTTTTGTTATTTTATGTTTATTGGTTATAAGCATTTGCCATATAGTAGTGGGATGTTATGAGCTCATGAGGTGTTTTCAATGATGTGCACATATAGCCCTCTGTTCTAATAGGAGAGAGTTGTGGTAATGTGATCAGTATACAAATTGTATGTCTGCATGTTTTTCTCTCTTGCTCTCTGTATATGAGGATACTGTGATGGAGTAAGCTTTATATAAGTAAATATATATATATATATATATATATATATTATATATGAAAAAGTTTACTTCTCATGTGTTTCATCCATTAGGACTTCATTAGATTGTGTTTGTTAAGATTGTTGTGACTGCACATGCACATGAACGAGAGAAATTAGTAGTTTCAAAATTTTTGAAAGAATTTTTTAGAATAAGTTTTTTGGCAATGTATCCAAATTCATCTATATTCTTTTTCTTTTCATCATCTTTGCTATTTATTACATATCTCACATTGGGATAACAGAAAATATGCCAAGAATGGGGAAACATTGTAAGAACCTGGACATAAATTTACTGTGTCCAGGTTCTTACAACATTTCACCTTTCTTGACAGATTTTCTATTATCCCAATGTGGGATACTTAATAACAAAAATGATGGAAAGAAAAAGAAAAGAATGGAGATGAATTTGGATAGATTGCAAAAAAATTATTTCAAAAATTTTAAAACTACCAGTTTCTCTTGTTCATGCACATGTATAGTTGCAACAACATAAACAAACCTAGTCTGATGAAGTCCTAATGGATGAAAAACACATCACAAATAAACTTTTTTCCATTTTTGCCTTACAATTTCCCCAATATATATATATATATATATATATATATATATATATATATATATATATATATATATACATATATGCACACAGACTGGAGACTGAGAGATTTTAGGAGATACCCTAAAAAATATCTGCATAAAAACACATGAAATCTAAAAATGCAGTCATTTTACTTTGTAAAGCAAATGTTTTAAAATCATTAAGATGCCTCTTGACAATTTCAATCATAAAATAAAAATGAGTAAAATGAAAACCAGTTAGCAAAAGAATGGTAATCAGGTGGTAGAATGAAAATTTTCAAGTTGTATCAATGATGATCAAACAATGCAAACAACATATTCAGATACGTTCTTTTCTTTTCAGTCATAAAATCAAGATAAAATGAAAAAGCAATTTCATATTTGCAATCTTCTTGCCTTCTCTTTTTCAATTAACTATTTTACTTATTTTCTTGAAGCAACAGTTAATCAAGACAGAAGATGACACATATTTTAAGAAAATATTCAAATAAGATTTTTGTACCTGCTGAGAAATAGAACAAAAATTGTTTCTCTCAATCATTTTTTATATAAATATTCCTAGATTTTCTTCTTTTTTTAATAACAACACTTGTATGATCATATTTATCATCAATATCAAAATGCTCAATGGTATTTTGCTAACAAATGTCATAAAGTATTTTCTTCATCCTACAAATTATTTCTTCTAATATCCTCATCTTCCAAACCAACATCATAAACTGGAACATATTTTGTAGATCCTCCAGAAAGATAATAATATATTTATCCTACCAAAAAATATAATCAACAAACATAATAAGTAAGACACAAAGAAATTAGTATGGTTAATCAAAGGTTGCTAGACTGTTCATTAGAGTGACAATAATGATGAAATCAAAATTCAACTCAATAATAACTTCATCAATAAGAAAATCTAAAAAGACTTATCCAATTAAATTGATAGTCATTTCTAATGAGATTTATTTTCAATTATTTGAATGATGAATAACGACACTATTCAATAGAATACTTTCAAACATTTAAAAATCCAAAATATTTTTATATGATGCTTGTGCAAATGTTCCCAATGCTCTCTTTTTTTAAATGTAGAGATTGAATACACAATCTTGAGTGTTCTGTACGCAATATTCATTTATTCTTTGTTGAGGCAAGTAAAAAAGAGAGAAATCATAGCAAGCATAAAAATTTATATAATAAAGAAGAAATGTAAAATTTTTATAAAAATAATTAAAAGGTAAATAAGAAAACAATACAATAGACTAAGTTTGTATATTACACTTTCTTTTGAGGAGAGTGTTTTAATAAAAATCTATTAAAAAAAGAAAGTTACTAACATGTATTCTTTAAATAAAAAACTGCTATAATGAAGCTAGATGATAAATAAAAATGAACTGAATAAAATTTAATGAGTAAAACTTTGTATATATGAGACTCAAATTGATGTTGTAAATGAGCCACCCAAATGAAGCCTGATGGTTTATTAAAAAGATACATGTATAAAATTTGGTTTACAAAAATTTGTAAAAAAAGAGTTACATTTTGTGATTTTTAACCAATGTGGAAAGTATGTTATGCCTATGTAGTTTTCAATTTGGGATTTGAATTCAGAGCCAATTTGTAGCTTTTTAAGAAGTCAGATTGGTCTAAGGACCAGAAAGGTTTTGATTTTTACAGGTGAATGACAGGGCTGTTTTTGGGAACAGAACTCAGAAAAACTAAGTCAATAACAGTGACAATGAAAGAAAAGAAAGAAAAGAAGAAAGAAAATGAAAAAGCAAAAAGAAAAAGAAAGCAGAAAGAAGATCCTATAAATTTAGAGAAAGATATGTTTCATGAAAATATGAGCTATATCTTAATTCTGAATTTCAATTTAAAAACTGAAATATTATTTATAAGTTACAATGCATGTGATTTTGCCATCCTTCTGAACTCCTTTTAACAGTCAAATGAATTGAAGTGAACATTTTGCTGATAATAATTATAAATGTTTTTATGGGCCCAACAGAATTGTACTTAGAACTTGTTATCATGATTATTTGTGTGGCACACAAAGGAAATTCTTGAGCATGCTTATTTTGTAAATTTTGTATTCTGTGCTATTATTATAGTTTATGTCATTTAAGAAATGTAAATTTTTCACCGGAGTAAGAATCTTATGTGTTTTTTATTTGCATCATTCATAATACTTGGTATAAAATATTTGATGTTCTCTCTTCTTCTTTTCTCCTAAAAAATCATTTTAAACATGATACATGTGATTGTATGTTGTTCCTTTTTAAGCTAGAATCCAAGATGTTGATTGAAGTCAATGGGAATAGTTTTGTTGGAAACAGTATGAATTGTTTGCAAAGTTCAAGAAAGGTGAATTCCACTGGAAGCACAAACACATAGCAGTAGACCATAGGAATTTGGAAATCATTACTTGCAATCTCTTTTGGATGGTGATGAATTCATTCAGTCAACATTGGAATTGGCTAAAAAACTTGGGATTAATCACTTATCAGTTGTAAGATATTTGTAAAGTATGAGGAAGATTCAAATAGCATGAAAATGGGTTCAATAAGAATTGTCAGTGTGAAACATTGAGCTACCTGAATTTTATTTCTTGCCAGACATGAAGAAGACATTTTTTGTCAGAATTTCATTGAAGATGAAAAGTAGGTTCATTACAATAATCTGAAACATAAAAAATCAGGTGTGGGGAGTTGCTGACAGTCTACAGTTTCAATATAAAATCCTAATCATTTTGAAAAAAAATTGCTCTGAATTTTGTGCAATATGAAAGGCATACTGTATTAAATAACCTGGTGAAACTGTTACTGCAGATCATTAGAGTTGTTATGTTGAATGTTTGAGTGCTTAATTGAAGAAAAAAGATCATTTATAAGATAGAGAAGTTGGAAAGTCATATTGCTGCTGTTCACACATTGCTTCAATAACCTCAAAACCATAATGGAATTGGGACTGGATATTCATGAAACCTTTTGCTATTAAATTAATATTTGTTTTGATCCATACAGTATTCTTCATTGGGTTCAACAATAAAGATGTCTTTGGTTTTGAAAATTCTACTGACAACCTTATTTTTTATCAAAGTTAAATTTTATAAAGAATGGATTAAAAAACTTCTATAATGTTGACATAAAGTCATAGAAGGTCAAAGCACATATTTTCATTTATTTTAATAATTCTGGAAACTTTTGGACACTCCTAATATATTGAATCAATTTTCACTGCGACTCTTACAATGATATTTTTTAGAAATTTTTTCTGCAATAAACAAATCTCATGTGACAAAATGAAGGCAATAAAGTAATTGCAGATAATGAATGGCAGACAATGTCAGGTTGAGAGTTAAAATGAGTGACAAGAGACATAAAAAATGAGTGACAAGAGACATAAAAAATGAGTGACAAGAGACATAAAAAATGAGTGACAAGAGACATAAAAAATGAGTGACAAGAGACATAAAAAATGAGTGACAAGAGACATAAAAAATGAGTGACAAGAGACATAAAAATGAATGAGTGACAAGAGACATAAAAAAATGAGGACAAGAGACATAAAAAATGAGTGACAAGAGACATAAAAATGAGTGAAAAGAGACATAAAAAAATGAGTGACAAGAGACATAAAAAATGAGTGACAAGAGACATAAAAATGAGGACAAGAGACATAAAAAAGTGACAAGACATAAAAATGAGACAAGAGACATAAAAAAAGGACAAGAGACATAAAAATGAGACAAGAAAAAAAATGAGGACAAGAGACATAAAAATGAGTGACAAGAGACATAAAAATGAGTGACAAGAGACATAAAAAATGAGTGACAAGAGACATAAAAATGAGTGACAAGAGACATAAAAAATGAGTGACAAGAGACATAAAATGACAAGAGACATAAAAATGAGTGACAAGAGACATAAAAAAAAGAGTGACAAGAGACATAAAAAATGAGTGACAAGAGACATAAAAATGGTGACAAGAGACATAAAAAATGACAGTGACAAAAAAATGACATAAAAAAAATGAGGACAAGAGACATAAAAAATGAGTGACAAGAGACATAAAAAAATGAGTGACAAGAGACATAAAAATGAGTGACAAGAGACATAAAAAATGAGTGACAAGAGACATAAAAATGAGTGACAAGAGACATAAAAATGAGGACAAGAGACAAAAAATGACATAAAAAAAAAATGTGACAAGAGACATAAAAATGAGTGACAAGAGACATAAAAAATGAGTGACAAGAGACATAAAAAATGAGTGACAAGAGACATAAAAAATGAGTGACAAAAAGACATAAAAATGAGTGACAAGAGACATAAAAAATGAGTGACAAGAGACATAAAAAAATGAGTGACAAGAGACATAAAAAAATGAGTGACAAGAGACATAAAAAATGAGGACAAGAGACATAAAAAAATGAGTGACAAGAGACATAAAAAATGAGTGACAAGAGACATAAAAAAAGTGACAAGAGACATAAAAAATGAGTGACAAGAGACATAAAAATGAGTGACAAGAGACATAAAAAATGAGTGACAAGAGACATAAAAATGAGTGACAAGAGACATAAAAATGAGTGACAAGAGACATAAAAATGAGTGACAAGAGACATAAAAAATGAGTGACAAGAGACATAAAAAATGATGACAAGAGACATAAAAAATGAGTGACAAGAGACAAAAAATGAGTGACAAGAGACATAAAAAATGAGTGACAAGAGACATAAAAAATGAGTGACAAGAGACATAAAAAAAAATGAGTGACAAGAGACATAAAAATGAGTGACAAGAGACATAAAAAATGAGTGACAAGAGACATAAAAAATGAGTGACAAGAGACATAAAAATGAGTGACAAGAGACATAAAAAAAAATGAGTGACAAGAGACATAAAAATGAGTGACAAGAGACATAAAAAATGAGTGACAAGAGACATAAAAAATGAGTGACAAGAGACATAAAAAATGAGTGACAAGAGACATAAAAAATGAGTGACAAGAGACATAAAAAATGAGTGACAAGAGACATAAAAAATGAGTGACAAGAGACATAAAAAATGAGTGACAAGAGACATAAAAAATGAGTGACAAGAGACATAATCAATATCATATCATTTAATTATTACATTATTTACTATCTCTAAACCAGTTGCCATTAATTTCACTGTTTAAAATAACATGGATATCTACTCAAACCTGTGTACCCACTAAAATAGTGTTTATGGTAATAAAAAATAATGTTGGATTAAAAAATTCATTAACAGCTTAAAATTTATTTACTTCTAAAAGCCAAAAACCTCTGATATAACCTGAGCAATTATATGACTAAAAATCAAAATCTTTATATTCATGTAGGCATTGCTAATGTAAGAATTGACAATGAATTTTTTTTTTTTTGCTGAAGAAGTGAAATTGTTATGAGAGGTTGATTTGCCTGTTTGCTCAGCTACTCTCTTCTTCGACTCCCATCAAATGTTTTGCTGATTATTGCTGTGCAACTGATCTTCAGTAGCCAACTGTATTTGATGTTCAGGTTGAAAGTAATTACAGATAACAAACTTTTGGACCAGCAACATTACAAGAAATTGGAGTTGATTTTGTTCATGTTTTAACATTTATTTGTTGTTTTCATTCCATTTGCAAGTGACATGATCTTTAATAGGAAAGTTATAAAATAAAATCAAGAATGATAAACAAAATAAAAAGAAATATTTTAAACCAATAAAAAGCAAATAAAAATGTAATCCAAAATGGCTCCAGAAATCTTTAAGGAGAAATAATAAATAAACTATAAATTTCAAAGACAGAAAAACAGAATGATAAATGCCATCCCTCAGAAATTTCTGGAAGGTGCATCTATCATTCTGTCTTTGAAATTCATAGAATATTTCTCATCAAATATTTTTGGAGTATTTTTTTTTTTGCTTTCTATTATATACATATGTGTGGGTGTGTATAGTGAATGATAGGTAGCAAAGAGCAGATAATTATTCTACACACCCAGATCAATTTTTCAGATATGCAATTATGATTAAAACTTTTTAAAAACATTTTATCTTAATTTTGCTTATAAGTTTGAATGTTATTAAAGAGCAAATATAAAAAATAATATAACACTTCACACTGAATCGTCTTTGAGATTATGAAGTGTTAGTTTTGAATTTGGCTTTATCATAGTGCACTCTGTATTGTGATTTAGTGTTAATCTATCAATTATTGAAACGCATATGTAGGTACATATTAGTTATTGAATACATTCAAAATTCTGGTGCCTTGACAATTTATCTGGAATTTGGGATTATTTTTATCACAAAGACTTCCATGACAAGTGAACTTTTAATATTGTTGGTATTGTAAAAGCTACAAGTAATTAACAGAATTTGGCAAATTGATATGTCAATGACACCAGTTTGATATTCCTTAATCTGGGCATGGGTTGTTTTTGACCAGATAAGGGGTACCTCTGCAGATAAAAAGGTAGTGGTGTGGTTGATTATACATACATACATACATACATACATACATACATACATACATATATATATATATATATATATATATATATATATATATGTAAAATGTGTATGTATATAAATATAAATATATATATATTAAAAAGAAGAGAGAAACCGTAAACGTTTTTAGTTATGATGTGGATTGTTTTAAAAAATATTATGCTTTATTTTCCATAATTTTGCTACACGTATTTCCGGTCTTCATCAGGCAACACAAGGAGATTTCCACATATTATTAAAAATAATTAATTTTTTTCTTTTATGTTTTTCGATGTTAAATATTCTCGATATGGGACATTGTCTTTTTTATGTCTTTCTTGAACTGGCAGTGAAAAGTTCTGTGTGAAGGTTTATAAAACAATTAAGATTAGTCTGAGAAATGGTGAAGGAGTTATCGGCATTCTTATATTTTAATGACCCATGTGTGTTCTTAGAGATCTATTTCCATTTTGTATATTCCCTCTCCATACATACACAATGTCTTATTATGAGGAATACTACACAGCATAGGAAGTGATTGTGTGTGTGTATGTGTATGTGTATGTGTATATGTGTACAAATCTGTTTACTAATTCCTCATAATAATTGTTTTATTGTATTTAAATGACTTCAAATTTGTAAATAGTTTTAAATCAATGTTAAGGAATATTATGGTGCTTTATGTATTTTTTTCTATTATTTTTATTTTATTTTATTTTATTTTATTTTATTTTGTTGTGTGTACAGCAAAACAAAATATACGCCCTGTTTATGGACAATTATTTTCATTTTGTGAATACATCCATTTAAAGTTAACTGACCTGTGATAATGTGAAGAATCAGGCTAAACAATAAAAAATGTGATAGTATGGTTGAGTTTAAGTATCTCGGCATCTAAAAGAAAAAACACATAAATAAAAACGGCAAATATTTAGATTAAGACACTACACAATACTTAGGGAAAAGGGTTAAATTTAAAGGGTTATCCACTGAAACTGCTATCCACCGAAAAAAAAAAAGAAAAGAAGCCAGTCCCCACCATGGGCCATTTAAAAGATAGTTTGTGCAGCGGATTGGTTGTTACAAACATCCATTTGGGTGTGCAGAAAACGTGGCCTTTCTTCATCTAATTCATTAAAAGGTCAGAGTAGCTGTTAGTGTTTGATTGAGAGGGGGATCAGGGATTGATCTCCCCTGATTGGGTCGATTTGGTGATGGGCAGTATGAAGTTGAAAGACCTGAAACTCCCTGATGAACCAAGTCAAATAATATCACTGATGACCCACACGTCCGCCTACTTAAGAGCATATTTTTGAATGAATATATATATATATGCAATTTTTTATATATATTATTTATATAGTATATATGCGTGGCATTTATTGGAAAGTGCTCAATATCAGTGATAGAGCTAACATATTTAGTTGGATTGATGTAAGTTTCTGACTCTGAGTTTCATGTTATTTGCAATCGTCAGACAAACTGATTAATTCTTTAATTTTGGATTTATATATGGTTGCAAATATTGGTGTTTTTATGGAAGTGGGAGGAAAAATTGTAATTGGAAAGCCACTCATACTTACGCAAACATACATACACACATGTTCACTCATTGACGTGCACAGACATACATACATGGACACTCACTCACTGGATCTCACACAAACATAAACATATGTGAACAGTGTGGGACTGGGCATATATGTGCATCCATGTGTCATTGTGATAATAGGTATTTGTTTTCATGTCTGCATTTAGAAATTATTTCAGATTTCATGTTTAATAATTTCTTTTGTTGGGTTTGAGAAATTATTGCTACTTTTTTGTATAGGCAAAGTAGGCATTTCTTTGTAATGTTGTTGTAGGCAGGTGTGTTTTTCAATATTTTCCAAATTATTCTTGGTGTAATATTTCTGTCTTTTAGATGCCATATGTATGTGGATAGTGTAGTGCTGTTTGAGTATTTTCTGTTGAAGAATGAAAGGTCATAGTTGATTTTTCTTTTCTTGAATGAGTGGCACCGATGTAGTACATTGTGCTGTTGTTTGCACTTACCTTGGCTTTATATGTTATATTTCTTTGTTGGCAATTTCCATAGAGTGGGCATGTTGTTTTATTTCTACAGTTGCATTGAGGTTCCTTGGTTGCATTATTGCACGTTGTTACTTTTTTGTTGTGGCTTTTTATTATTTGTGTTATATTTTTTGTGCAGCTGTAACTGATTTTAATGTTATTTTTGTTGAATATGTTTGCTAATCTGTTTGTTTCAGGGAAGTGCTTTTCTATTAAGTATAGGAATGTCCTTCCTATGTTTGTTTTGACAGTTTTGTTGTATGGTGGGTTAAACCAGATAATGTTTTTTTTTCTGTTTTTGTGTTTTGGTTGTGGAGGTGTGTATTGTAGTTGTGTGTATCCACTTTCTTTTAGTGCTTTGTCATATGATGTTTTTTTGTTATTGAAAATGTCTTTCTGATAGCCTGCAGCTGATTGATATTTATCAATAAATATGTTCCATGTCATTTCCTCTTTAGTTAGCTTACCCTGAAGATCCATTAATGTGAAACCTAGGTAGGTAGTTCCTGGGTCTTTAGGATTTATTTTATTCCTTTGCTCTACTTAGCGTATTGAGCACTCTATGTTTTATCTTAGTTACTTGCTTGTTTTTTTTTTTTTTTTGAAATTTAAGAAGACACTGGACAATATTTTTGCTTTGTTCGGATGTTTCTAGTTCTATCTTTTTTTTACAATTTTTTCTTTGGATACCAATTTACTTTGGTATACTTGCAAAATGTGCCATCTGGTTTTTTTACCAACTGTGTATAATTATTATCATAATATATATATATATATATATATATATATATATATATGCATGCACACACACAACACGATTTCTTTTTGAATTTGTAGGCCTGATGAATTGGATCGTAATTACCATTCCAATGTAATAAATTATAACCATGGAATATTAGTGTTTGAGCCTTTATATATATATATATATATATATATACACACACACAAACACACATATATAGTGATTTTCCAAGCATAGCTTAAATGTGGCACAAGGTCGAAAGTAGGGGGCACCCAGTGAGGATCGTACTCACTACTCAGATGTCCCTTTCTAAATATTTCTGGCACTTAAAATAAAACACCAACAGTAAAATGGAAATTAGTAAGAAGAGCTAGAGCTTGTGGTCATTAAATGACCCATGTCCTTTGTGCATACATGAAAAATTATGCATTAATAAATTTTTGAAAATAAAAATTTTTTTAATCAAAGAAATGAAATAGCATTTTTTATAGACACTGACAAATATTTTCCTTAAATAATGTTTAATTTTGAAAAAGAGATGAAAGATAAAACATACATATTTATACTTGATCTTTAATTAATAATTTTTTTAAAATACAAATGTAATTCTAATATATTTAATTGTAAAAAATAACATATAGTCTATTAGTTATTAGAAGTAGAAAAGTACTTTAAATTTGTAGGAATAGATTTTAAATATTAAAAATATAACTTACTCATATTCAGACAACCCTTTTAAGAAA